TCATGTTTTAGGTTATTAATTTAATGATTTCAGTGACTCCCTAGCAGCTATACAATCTTTTGAAAAAGTCTAATCGCGTCAATCACGTCAAAAATTCAATTGTGTCACCCCCACAACATTTGCTCTTCTTTTTTTAGTATAAATATGTGTACTTGTCTATAGTGTTCTCATATTAGATTGGATATTTTCAAGCCAATCTTTGTAATGTCTGAACATGGCTTGAAAAATAATGCCCCTTCTTATAATATTCTAAATGAATATGGAGTTATTAGTGCAGTGAGTTCCTTTAGACAGCAGTGGGAGCTTTAGAGTCAGACTATTGACAGCAGAGTCTGTTTTCCACTTTTCACATTAAAACTGACTCAGATACAGCATGCTCATGTGGGTCTTCATAGCGGACCTGAAAATTGTTCATTTTATGTGATCAGACTATTTAGAGATGATGGTTAAAATCTATTTCAGAAATTCTCAAGTGTGTGTGTGTGTGTGTTTGGGGGGAGGGGGAGGGGGAAGGGGGCATGGATAAAACAACTAGACGTCAACAATCTGATGAGGAAAGTCAACCCTTGGCTTTTGACATTGGTTTTAGGCTTTACTACCACAATGTTTGGGGTTCCACAGATCCTACTGCCATAAGTACAAAAATAATATTTAAGATTGCAAAATCTATTTTTTGTCCTTTAAAACGGTAAAGAAAAGTATCAGAGCGGTATCTCTTCTGTTTGCCAAAAATTGGGATTGCACCTTTGATAAGGGTGACAAAATGCAATAATGACCATAAGGCATTGTTATTACACCAAACAAGAAAATATTTCATGTTTAAATGTTATATAAGTTATTTATGAGTAAATACTTTTTTTTTTTGACAGACTAAGAAATGTACTGTATGTTATCCTTTATTGACATTAACTAATTATCTCAAGTCGATTAGATGCCAGAGAGGTATAACTCCTTAGACCACTTGTAAAAAAAAATATTATAAAACTCCAACAATAGAAATCCAAAATAGACTACTGACAAGTGTGTTTGTGCACACACCTATTTGGGATTTGGAAGGGGGAGTGCTACGCGAAAAGTATAGATGGAGAGCATCTATGTATATATATAACTATATATAAGAAAACAAGTGCTGGGGTCCCTGAGACCCTGAAGAGACCTAACATGTATTTTTTTGCAGCAGACAAACATGTCATTTAAAAAAGAAAAAATCTGAAAATTAAGTTGATAAAGCAATGTTATGCATGTTTTTTTTAGCTGTAAAGAAAGCCACATCAGCAGTGTGGCCTGTATGCTTCCACATTGGAATGCATCAAAATATCATTACATCAGCTGCATTGAGGGTATTAAAATTAAAGAAATATTTGACTGATAAAAGAAGTGTCCTAAATGCATTTAGTAATAAATTGGGCTATGGTCTTGTTGCTAATGTTAATGCCAGATGATCTGGTGGACACTATGAGGGCAGCTCAGTCGTCTCACCTGCAAAACTCATGATTACCTTAACTACCCCCAAACCCATCACTCCACCTCACCTCCACCTACCTGCCCCAAACCTAATTCAAGCGTTCCCTCTCTGAACTCCAGCAGGGGTCCATCGACTTATTGCATTATGTACTATTAAACAAACTTGGACTTCTTAAGAGCAGAGTTAGACTTCAGAGGCTGTGTGGCATGTTTATAGGGATGGACTGTACAGTATACACAGATTTCTCATTTCTCTCGGTGACCTTGGGCACAGTGACATGTACGGTTTTGAGGCTTTGATTTGCCACGTTGAGGTGTTGCGGAAAAGGTGCAATGCAAGATAATTTTGGCATTTTTTCCCTCCTGGGAGCATAGAGAAGTAAGAAATACAGCAGTTCATACTCCGGAGATTACAGGTAATATGGCACACAACCTTCATAAACATTCTTGACCCAGCCTGATGATGGAGATATTGCTCCAGGAGAGACTTTTCACACTTTGATTTGCCTAAAATGAGATGGAGAAGTCAGTGATCAGACTCTTTGAGGTTCCTCACAGAGAAGCCAGCACTGGCTGTATATCTCTCAGCGTTGCACACATGCTATGACAACCAGGTGAGCAAGAAGCAGACTCCTGCAAACAAATAGAGAAAAATATCCTCAAAGAGATGATATTGATGTATTATTCATGTCAGAAAAAAAAATACTAAAATGATCCATCTGAAGTCATTGAAGCCAGGTGATAATCCATGCTTGTGGGGGCAGCCCTGGGCGAATTAGCGATGAGGAAACCATTGTACATCCCTCTAAGGTCAATATGGTTGAACCTGGTGATACATATGTATGTTAATTTGCCTAATCTCACTTCTACAAATGTCTTACAGGCACATAAAGGGTTTAACACTAAGACATAATGATATCAGGGCATCAGATGGGGGGCTTATGAAAACATGAGGCAGCCATAGCTTTAAATCTTTGTATCGGCTGTCAATATAGCCACAGTTAGTCTTTGTTTATCTACAATATTCTTATAGCACACATAATATTGGGAAAGTGATATTGGGCATTTTATTTGCACATTCAACTATTTAAACAATATGAATTAAGGTTTAATTAAAACCACTTAACAGTGTTACCATTTCAGAACCGAACTTGCCTGTTTGTTCTGAATTAAACTTCCATGAATAAAGTATGCAACAACTGCTTCAGCAGGTGGACCAGCCTTTATCTCAACACTCTTACTAAATCTACTAAATATATATATACTCTCTGTCTTCAACACTCTCAAAATGCCACGGTAAAGGCTTTGTAACTGACACAGGGCTGCTACCACAGCCCCTTAAGTAGTCTGAATAAGTGTGTTAAATGAAATAAAGTCTTAATTTAATCTGAACAACCACTTGAGTTTATCCAGTTTTTGGCCAAGTGATCACATTGCACAGCAACTTCACAGCTTTTCATATGAAGATGCTAGTGGCCATGCAGCAATTTATTACCATCAGTTCAGCCACATAAAACTTTTTTTTTACTTTATTGTATAAGATGAGACAACAAAAGCCAAACATGACTTCTGTTTAGGGTATTCATTTGATTTGGTTTTAATAAAATATTTTCTATGATAATCACAAAATGACCTTAGCTATAATGGTATCCTGGGAAACATGTTTTTATTTCCCCTCATTTATGGAGAATCTTGGAATCAAGAGTGAAAGACATTTTGTAAGAAAAAGTTTTCTCCCACTTATTTCCATAGTTGCATCTCCACCTTTCCCATTCAGTTCCCGTCTTCAGAGAAAAAAACACAGGCTATCTATTCAAAAGGCATTTAGTCCATTTCTTTCTTGGCCGGTAAACCTATTCATCAATTGTTCTGGCTTGTAGATTGCATTCTAATGCTAATCTGGCGTGTTAAATATCTTTTTGTTCCCCTTTCACCGTTTTGTCATTCAGTTTATCCAGTTTTGGCCACCCATTTTATTTATTTATGCGCCTGCTTCTATTCATGCGCTCATGTATTTTTTATTATGTTGTTTCACTGTCATGCAGTGTCAACTCACTCTATTCAATGTGGGCTACTTGAAGGGCTTGGGGGGACAAAGCGTGTACACATTGCAGTGCTATTCACTCCGGCCAGCTGGATCGGCTGAAAAAAACCTTGTGAAAAGAAATCCTCCACAACGGACACAGAAGAAGTGCACAATGCTAACAGTTTTCCAAATACCACTGATTGCTTTCATCACAATGAGGGAAAGCAGCCGCTTTTGCTGAGCTCCACTTCAACAAACAACACTCTCACAAAACCTCCCAACCCACGTTTTGTTCCCAGACAAAACCTCCTCGACCGTCTAAACGCTCCCAGAGTTGGGAAAAAAAGTTCTTTCAGCATTCTTCCCTTTTTCCTCAAGAAAAAATATAATAAAAAGGCCAAAGAAAGAGAAAGAAATGGCCACTGAACTCATAATGCAAGTTCTTTTACTGACTTAACGACCTTCTCTGTATTTTGATCAGACAGCTACTAGCTTGCCCTTTCATTACACCTAAAATCATTTAGAAATTGCATCTATACGCCTTGTTATTTAAATTACACATTATTCTAATCTATTTCATTTTTTGGCAAAAATAACAACCATAGCACTGTTAATAATAAAAAACATGAAATAAAAAAAAAGGTGCAGGCCTGACCTCAAAGTCACTCAGAACCAACAAAATCTGGTGTCACAAATCACGGGAATTTTCCTTTGAATGTGCTGAGTGTAAATGCCACCAGTTTCAACACTGTACACGAAAACACAAGGTCACTTGGCCCGTTATTTTCGAGGCCAAGAAGGAAGTTCCGTGGAGAGGAGTGATCGGGGTGTTACAATGGAGAACATAGTGGTGAAAGAGTTTAATTAACCGTGACGGAGATAATTATCCCTGGACTGTCCAAATTAGTTTTGCATAATCGCCCTGATCCTTATGAATTAATCTCTCAGTATGGCATAGGAGGGGCAGTTTGCTTAAATAACATACATTACACGTTAGAGATCTAGTATCAATTAACATTTTGTCCACCCAATAACATACACACACCCTACACACACCGCACTGTAGTGCACGTGAGAGCATACACCCTTAAGACAGCATGTTTTTTTTTAACAGTGTGTCCCTTTTCATTTACACTATATTAAATGCACTTTGCTTTTCTTTTTAAACTTGGGAGCGCACACACTCGGCTCAGTTGTTTTAAAAAGCCTCAAAGACATGCCAGTGCTGCGGCCTAAAAGCTGTTCCCTTTTTTGTCCCCTGCATGGGAAAAGAAAGCTCAGAGTACCACACAGTTTTATCTTCTTTCCTATTCACGATTAAAATTGTGATAAATAAGGTTTTGGCTCTTGATTACAATGGGCTGATTTAGATTTCCCCCAGTGGTGCCATTCAAAGCGCGGACAAAAGCGGCCTTTGGAGGATACCTTACACTTCACCTGGACTGAGGAGCAGGAAAGGAAAAAGATAACAATCTTGTTCATCTCATCAAGAACTGCAGCCGCGATTCCCTTCCGTTTAATCCGAATACGCTTTATTGTAGTCCTTTGCTCAACAAGTGAACAGTAGCAATAGATTGAAGTACATAACGGAGGTTAAAGAAAACACAAAACATACAAATTCCATAAGAGTTAGTTAAAAACGTTTTTTTTTCTGCTGCACATGATAGGAGGAGTGGGAGGGTGAGGGATCAAGAAATGATAAAACCCCGTGAATAAACTTCTGCATTTAAACTGAAACTTGTTTTTACTGCTGGGAGGGAAAATACGGTTTGATGTAACAAACCCCGAAAGTTGCAAAGTACTGAAATTGAACATCACCTTCAAAATAAATTACATCCTCTACGTTTCATGTGCAAATATTACAGAACTAGTCTTGTCCTTTTTAAAATTGCCTGGGTCACCATAGATTCCACTAAACAATAAATATTACAGACATCTATAAAACTGTTTAAAAACTCAAAATATACACCGGATTTCTAGGGAAATACGTAGGTTCCTGGCCCTATCTCAAACACTAAGCCTATAACGGCAAATAAACTAGAATCATTTTTATCTGTACACATTTACAGTCAGTTCAAGAGGGGAGAAATGTTGAGACAGTAGCCTAATTCTGCTATTAATATGCTCTTTGTATATGCTGCCCTTGATTCCAACAGGTGCAAGATAGAAATCGAATAGTGTACCTTTCAAAAGTGGTTTTCACAAGAGCAAACTACTCGGATACCCTTTTCCTCTCAAATTTGTGCATTTCTGCCATCCTTTAGTCCTTTCCCTCTGGGCTGTGAGAGGTGATGGCTGAGTAATAATAGATTAGAGAGTTCTCTAAATAAGCATTACCTTAGATAAAGGTATTAATCAATATACATACACATGTGATATCTGAGACGACGAGCACTTCATCACATGTACAAGTTTGTGCATGCATAATAAAACTCTTGCATGAATAGCTTTTTTTGTTTTTGTTTTCACATTTCATTTTCGTATTAGTCCAAAGTGGGCCTATCATAATGCTGCCGCATATGCAGGGTACGGTTCAAGTTGAGGTTTTCCCATCCCAGGGAGCAGGATGTATGCTAAGGGCGGCTGGAGTCCTGCTGAGGGCCAGCCAGTACAGTTACAAGGGATCATGTAGCCTGGGTTTCCCGGGGACGGATGTGAGTGAGTGTGGGCGTGCGTCCCGCCACCTACACCGCCAGTCCCGGTGAAAGCCGTGGCGCCTCCCGGCGGGTAGCCCAACGGGGACGCGTATGGAAAAGAAGGTGGGGAAAGCTCAGTCATCTTGGATCCTAGGTCGAAAAAGGAATAGGGGTTCGTAGACATGGCCGGGTTGAAGAATACCCTCGCCGCTGCGGCCGCTGCAGCCGCTGCTGCCTTATCAGGGTTTCCCATGATGGACTCGGAAAGTGCTCCTGCAGAAAGCCCGTTAACTTTGAGTGCGTCGTGCTCCCCGAGATTGTATGGCACAGGGAAAGAAAACTTATCTTTTTTCATCAGAGTCTTGGGCTTCCGCCTCGGTCTGTATTTATAGTCTGGGTGTTCCTTCATGTGCATCGCTCGCAGTCGTTTGGCTTCGTCAATGAATGGCCTTTTCTCAGACTCGGTGAGAAGTTTCCACTCCGCTCCCAATCGTTTGCTGATCTCGGAGTTGTGCATTTTCGGGTTCTCCTGAGCCATCTTTCTGCGCTGGGCTCTGGACCAAACCATGAAAGCATTCATCGGGCGTTTAACGTGATCCATTGGTTTAGACATGTTGGCACAAACTCTCTGGAAAAAGAATATGTAAGGGGAAAAAATAAGCATTAGTAGCCTATAAATATCTTGCAAAATCACACACAGGACTCCTTTAAAAGTTTAACAATTACAGTTACATTTATTTTAAGATCACAACTGCAGCTCGTGTTGTTTTGGCTACTTACCTAAGGCTTCAGTTCTTCATCCCACCGTTGAGGATCTTCCGTAAAGTACAAGTGGCAGCGTCCTTATGAGTGCTCAACTTATGTTTTCTGCTTCATATTGGCATCCATTAGTGATACGCCTTTAGCAAAGAGGAGAGGTAAAAAAAAAAAAAAGTACGCTGTCTTGTTTTCCTCGTGTCGCCGGAGACTGTCAACCACCACTCAGCTGCAGCGTTTACGCAAGTGAATGAGAACTCCCGCTTGCCCCATGTGAAATACAGGATTGTGTGGCAGGTAGTGAAAGTGCCACTGGCGCATGCGCGGTTGTGCCGAACACGCAGACTACTCCAGAAAAAAGCCCACCCTGTTTGAAGGGAAAGCGCGTTTCCTATTATATATATCTTTATTTATTCCATGAGTTTTTTTTTTTATTCAGAGCGGTGACCTCGGTGTTGTTCGGACTCTTTAGCTTCATATTCATTCTATTCATTCCAATGACCAACTTGTCAGGTCGGAATTTAGTTCAATTAAATTAATTAACTTCTTTAGGCTACTTCAGCGAGGGATGTAGCCTACCTGGAATACCTGAGGATGGCAGCGTGTACGAGCCCCTCACTAGCGCACTGACAGATGAAAGTGACAGCAGCACACAGGTGCATGTTGATGAAGTTCAGTCTCAACTTGCATTGAACCGGAGAGCTTAATAAAAAAAAAAAACACGCACAAGCTCACCCTTATTTAAAACACGCCTATTCGCCTCTTCCTCTCTGTTTCGTTTGTTTAATTGACAATCAGAACAGCTTGAATCTGCTTGTGTATCACTCCACTTTTCTCACCTTTCATCCTCGCCAGTGTCTCTCCGCCTGCCCCTTCCCTTCCCCATGGGTGGCACTGGCATTGAAAAGTAGTGTGTAAGACGACAAGAGGTAAAGAATGTCTTCTTTAATTTTCTGATATTGTGGCATTTTGTCGTAAATACGCAAATGCCGAGGAGGTCTGAAGTGTTTCTAATCGCGCTTGGTGAAATTAATTACTTTTCTGAAATCCCCCTTTTCACTTTCACTTCAAAGGACTTTCCCAAGGGCAGCGAATCGACAACTGAAATTAGGTTGTCGAATATTCAACTAAGCAATTACAGTTATCTGCAGGACTTGTTGAGTAAATTGCAGGTTTAAGTGGTTTGTTCTCGCACCTTCTCCGTTGTACATAATTATATATGTACAAAAAGAGGAAATAGAGAAGGGCTGTATCGAACAATATTATAAATGACGAATTAGGCTGTAGGTCGAGCGTTTAAATTAGGATATAAATGGATGTCAAATTCAATTCACTAGGCTGTTGTTCTCTTTGAACGGTTACGCCTAATATGAGGGTAGTTTACACAATATATAATGTGGAATTTATATTAGTATTATTGTTATTATTAGTTAATAAAAATATTGGACTTATAATTACTTTTTATATAAATAATGTGTTGGCAGATTATTGAACGGATGAAAGTTGAGTGATGACGCTGACCTATCCCAAAGTGATGCGTGATTTACAAGAGACAGCGCCCTTTTTGATTGCTGCATGTTGAGCCTGAGATTTTTTTTTTTTTTTTTTTTTTTTTCTGTTAACAAGGATTAGGGTTGTTTTATTGCAGGGGAGAAATAGCTCACCGAGGGATCGCTCTTTTGTCTCAAGGAAGAAACCTGACAAGGTGAGGATGATGCGCGCCAAGAGGACCAGATGAGAGACAAACCTGCTGCCTAAACTGAGTCGCAGCATCTCTCAACACCGTGCGCCCCTTTTGTCGGCTTGTCATTCACCTCGATAACATTACTGCAATGAAGCGCTCCACTCACTCGGCAGGAGCATGTGCCTCTCATGACACAAACGGGGGAAAATTGCTATGAATTATATGAATAAGTTACGGTGGAAAGTTCTTATCGGGAGTTGACAGTTATAGAGGTGTGCAATTCAGTGTCTGCACACATGCGTGCATTTCAGTGGCCCCCTGGAGATTTCATAGTTTCTTATTTCTCTCTGCAGTTTTTTTATTTTATTATTTAAATTTTATAATTTTGTTTAGGATTGTTTCACAATGTAGAGAAACGCTGCCCTGTTCCTAAAGCATGGTCACTGTTTTTTAATAACATGTGTTGGAGGATTTCAGATTATGGCAGGGCCTAGTTGAGCCTGCATTAATGGGAGCAGGCGCAGCCATCCAGCATGTTTTCACCTGATCAAAATGCCAAGATTCCTTGTATGTATTTCACAAAACAGCCTATTATTTTTTGCATACTGACACAACATTAATTCATTCAATTTAGGAATTTAATGAATATCTGATTTGAAAAAACAAAACAAAAAAAACACCAACAACAACCCAGTCTGTGTTTCCCCCACATCTTTTACCTCTGCCTGGGTCCTGGAAATAACACTTAAATAATTCAAGATGAGTTAGTGAGAGTGGGAGAATTACCTGCCGATAAAGCCCGGGTCCAGCCTCTGAGACGGAGCCAGCACTCCCACCTCACAGCACACTGATGATAAGACTGAAAAGAAAAATATCATGCAAATAGAAGGCAGACAGCAGCAACAACAAGCCCATGGGGACATTTCCCTACCCGGAGAGGAGAGATCGCACACAGTTCACTCTAAAGTGCTAAAGCCATCACTCTGAAATAGGAGCCCCTGGAGGTGCAAGAATCTTCATGATAGCACCAAACAGTTTATTCTGCTCAACACTCCACTAACTCTGGGGAGAAAGCACAACAAATTATAAAGCGAGTTGATGAGGATCCCTGGATAATCCCAGTTTGCATAAAGAGGCCTAATCTATAAACAATATTGTAAGATGTGTACTTTACCTTCTTTTTTCTTTTGAAAGTGTTTACTGTTATTCTCCCAAAGTGGCACCATTGGAGGTGGAGGGAGGGGAAGCAAGTCTTACAAATAAATAGATTTGAAGATAACACAAGCTGACCTCTTGTTATCAGATGGTTAGTTTTTTTGACTGGAAAAAAGTGAACAGGGTAAACAACAATCTTCAAACAGAAGAGAGTAGTATTTACAGCCACATGAAAGTTTCCTCATTATCGGGGAGGTTTGAAGAAAGGGAGAGGGAGGGATCCTGATTGTGTACCTGATGTGGTTTCTTTCTGCTTGTCTGATCACAGCTCTGCCTGGATCTTCCCCTTTCTTCTCAGCTATAGAGCTGCTCCCATGCAGGCCGGGGCCAAGAAAGAAGCAATAAATGCACCTCGCAGTAAAAGGTAGTCATCTCATTTTCCTCTGTGTTGTGAGGATTTTCATTAATCCTTATATGAACACGCCAACTGCTCCACTTTTTACAGCTGATTTTCAGATTAAGGATTTATACCGCAGATAAACAGCACAAATGTGGACCAAAATATTTCATTAGTTTTGCTAAAAACCTATTTAAAAGCATGACTGATATTATAATACTGAAGCTTTAAGGATGGAGAAATATAATATTGTTTCAAACATAATTCCTGTGTATTTTCCTGTAACTCTTTTCATCATGTAGCCTATTTCTATTAATCATTGGCTGAAATAAATTCCAAATGCGCCAGATTTAGACAAAGGTATTCCTATCAAAGGCATTTCTGAACAACAAAATCAAAAAAATGTAAATACATTTTACAGCTAAGCAAACATGTTACATACACTAAAGGACAACAGTGTTTCCCACATGATGTGGAGAATATTGAAAGTCAATCTGTCATTATCAGACGCCATTAGCTCTAGAATCTTATCTTAAGAGAGCCTCTGATTAAGTGTTAATGACAAACAGTTTAGTGTTGTAAGGGATCCAATTGATTACTATTTAAAGATGATTGCATTTAGATTAGAAGTCATTTTGTCTAATGAGGTTTCTTTACAGCTCCTACAATAAGTAGAAAATATGCTTAAGTGCAAGGCAATATAATGATCGGATTGGTAAAGAGACAATGCTGACTTCAGCATCACTTCAAATGAGTCACACAGAACGCCTGAATAAATACATAATTAATGTGAATAAAGTTAATATTTTTTTGTGGTTTAAATATGTGACCTATTTTGAACATTGTGTTCTCAAAATATATTCAATAAGTGCCAAATTAGTTGTGCAGTTCTTTAATCATTCTAATTATACAGTCTTTATTGCTCCTTAGGGCAGACTTTCGTGTCTTTGTCTCAGTGGGAATTATTTTGGTGAAGAACCAAAATATTTACTCAACCACAACCTAAATATTATGCATATCAAGAGGAATTGAGAAATAATCCCCTCATAGAGCACAGTATTAACTTAATCACATTAGTGAAAATACTATTGATAGTGGTCATGATCCCTAGTGAGGGAATCTGTAATTCACAATAAAACAGCCATACAAGATAGAGCACACTGTGTGTGCATGTGCGTGTGCGTGTGTGTGTGTGTATTAAAGACCTGGGAGTAAAACAGGCAAATGGCCCTGAGGACTGACTGAATCTGTGCGTGAGTGTGTGTAAATGCTTGAATGATGGTAAAGAGAGAGGAAAGAGGAGTGATTGTCAGTCCAATCTTCGAGGACCTGAACTGACACATACAACAAACTTTGAAAGCACATTATGGAAGGAGAATGGCTACACAGAAGATGTGGAGTCCGCAAGGTTGATAAGACCTTCATCTTTAAGCTGCCGCTTGTCAAAGTATTATATGTAATCTCACACTGCAGAATATCTCCACGCCCTGAGGGGCAAACAAAATAGCAGCGGCAATCAAACGACTTCCTGGATCATTAAAAAACGGCCTATCCTACCCTTTGTAAAAAGTCAGATTTTTGAACTCTGATTACTGCTACCCCCCACAGGGTGTATGTTTAGCTTAAACCTTCCACATATTCTCTGTTGCAGAGCCCTGTGGTTCAAATCCGCAGATACTTGTTTCCCTCCAGGCACTGAGATGACTTTTCCCATGATAGACTATTTTGAACCATTTAGCGGATACATTATCGCTGGCCTTTCTTCCTCATTATATTCCCCTTATCGCCACAGCATCGCTGCAAAGCCCCAAATAGAGAGTTGTAATTACCCAGACTGCCACCTGATAGCAGCCCTTCTATCAGGTTTATCACTCCAGGTCCTGCTAACTCATCATAGGGACAGAGGGAAGAAAAGGCCTGCTTGTGGCACAGCCCGCCACAGATAGCTCATCTCTCAGATACATTCATAGTTCCAGTTGGGATCACAGAAAAACTGATGCACCAAGGCAATTTTTTATCCACCGCTTCCCGTCAACCCGACAAAGACTGCTCTCTCTCAGTCCCCTCCTAGTCTCTCACTCTTTATGTGGAAGCTGAATTGAAGCCGCTCCGCAAACAAAAAGTGATCCAATCTCCTTGAACCCGTGGCATGCTATTTGGGCTCTCATAGTGTGCTGCCGTCCTTCAGAGCAAAACAAAAATCCAGAGGCTGACTTGTTCTTTAACACTGCACGCAGCGTCAAACACACTCGTGTAAAAATTAACAGTATAGTGCTTCCAGCTTATTAACCACCTTTGACCCTTATTGGAAGGTTGCCTGATGTTATGAATAGGAAATGAAGAACTGAATCTAAGGATTTGTGTTCATCTAGGTTGAATGAACAGAAGGTGAAAACACTAAATGAAAGTTGAGGTTAAAGGTCAAGATGTATTCAAATACATACCCTTTTCAAACCACAGGTTTATTTTTGTTCAAATCATTGTCTGTCCTCAAAGTCTAGCCAAAAGTGATTTCTGAAAAACAGACTACATAAAATTACAGCAGAGAAAGTTTAAAAAAAACAAACAAACAAACAAAAAAAACCCAGATGATTTAATTAAGCTTCATCAGAACACTGACCTTGACAGCGGGGATAAACGATACTGTAAATAAATACTTATTTTTTAGGAAACATTATTTTTAAGTATTTGACTGCTTTAAGTGTTCTAAGGAATTTGGGTAATTTGAGTTTAAGTCTTATTGAGTTATGTTAAAAACAAATTAGTGTCCATATATTTTTTTGTTACATTAAATAAAATGTTTGTGTTCATATGTGTCTTTGTCTTGCAAAGTTCTTAATTACCTGCTCATGTTGGCATAAAGACAAAGACAGAAAGAGAATCAAGCTGGAAAAGTTCTTGATGATTACCCCCATTTTGCCAGTTGGATATTATTATCTAAGTGTATTATTGTCTGCCAATTAAGGGTGCGTGTTTGCAATGT